AATTTATAAGCAAAATGTAACCTACTCTTGTATCAAATTACAAGCTACTTGTCGTACGCAAATTTGACTACTGTCCTTAATAATCAGTAAGAAACTGCGTATACTTCCTACGAGCTATAAGTTAAATGAAACTTGTAACTGATAACGTGTGAGTTGTAATTTTCATACACCTGGATCTAACATTATGTGTGATAAATGCAATGTTTTAATATAACCAGTTAAAATGTTCAGCAACGTCTGCAGGTTACAAGTCACTATCACCAAAATAACTTCAATTCTTTCTTATTTACAATAGCGCCATGTTTTTCTTGTGAGAAAATAAACAAACATCGTAATAACACCTAAAATTGGAGACTTCTGGCTCACCCTGTAGTTATTGACGTTCAAGAATTTTATAATTATACTAGCTGCAAGGACCCGCTTCGCTGGGCAAAAAGCAACGATAGTGAAGATTAAGATAATTACATTATAGCTANTAAGCAATTAGATAAGTAATATAAATGTAGACTGTTTCATCTCGAATTTAGCTATTTTTTTACCCTTCAGTATTTAATCCTCGATATAACAATATTTTTATAATCTACGGACGAGCCAGGTGTTGACATGCTTTACTCTCAGCCATATAATTGTTTATTTATATAGTATATTGAGGTCAGACTCACCACATTGATTATTTTGGACTGTGTTTTTTTAAGAATAATATTTAAGAAGTGTTGTTGTGTTTTTATAGATATAGTTTGTTTATGAAAAAATTTTAGTTTTTGACTTCTGAAAATATTTACAATGAACAACTATATTTTGACTCTTGCTATGTTATGAACCACATTGTTGAACTTAAGATCCTTGTAAAAAAAATAAGGAAATACTACTTGTGTAAAATGGATATCACCAGTCTCACTATTGTTAGAAGAAACGTTTATTTATAATTATTTATATATTTAATTATTATCGAATGAAAAATGCTTAATATATCTTGAGATACGACACGAGTAGTAGTAGTTTGGGCTGTACTAATCACAAATCCTAATTAAATTAATTTTATTTTAACAATAAGGCAAGGGTTAATATATTTTATTTAATTGTTAAATATTGTTGAATTAATTATTTTGTCTAAGAGAATAGACATTCGAAATAAGATCAATTGACTTTTTTTTTATTATAAAATTAAGTTGTGACAATTTGCAATAATAAGCATAATTTAAAAAAATAAATAAATAAACAAATATCTCCTAAATTTTGTACCGTTACCAAATTGTCATCTTTTAATTTGCTCTGATATTAGAACAAACTTTTATTTCAAAAAATTAAGCTTATTATTGCAAATATACACAAATTGCCACAAATTACTTTTATACAAATTACAAATTATAGTAACTGCCGAATTTCGTAGAAATTAGAGTGTATAGCAAATAAAACAGTGAGATAACTTTTGATGACTCCTCTAGAGTGTATGTTTTATATCCTACCGTTGTTACAATTTCTTTAATTCTATTGATTTCTTTTAAGCGGTTCTGTATATTGGAACAATACAAAACGGTTTTTCTAACCACCACTCTGAATGCTGAAAGGCTAAGGTAAAAGTAAAAAGCCACTATAAATATCCCCATGATAGGAACACGCCTGTTTAAAACCACTTTTATGTCAAAGAATTGATGTATATTGTATATTTTTTGCTCTTTCCCAAGGCAAAATCTCGATTTTGTTGATGTTAATTCTTATTCTTTATGATTACTATTTTAAATCTAATTAGAATTTTAGTGTTGATTAAAACATAATAATACATTATGTTGTTTTCTTACTTTCCAAACAGGAGAAAAAGGGATAAAATGTCGTATGGATAACATTTTTCTTCTTGGAATTATTCGTGCTAGAAAATATGACATGAAAAGATCTTTGAAACTGCTGAAGAATTATTATGAAGTGAGAATACAGTATCCTCAGTACTTTAAAGATCTACTTCCTTCTAAATTGAAACATGTTTTATCACTGAATGGTATTCAAATCTTACCAAAACCAGATAGTAAAGGAAGATTTATTTCTTTTAGTCAATTCAGTAAGTAGACCTGTTGTTATTTAATTCTTACTAAGCATATATAGAAAATTAAAATATATGAGATAAATATAAAGAAAATACATATGTAGAAAACATAAACAATCGAATCTAGTGTTTTAACTTATTTTCAAAAATTGTGTCGCATACTTATATAACCTTTTGTAGTTATGTTGACATTTGCGAATTTTTACAGGTAAAGTAAGGAGGAAGGAATTAAAGTTATTTTGATGGTAGACAAAATAGTCAGTGAAATCTTGCGTAAATCCAAAACATGACCTGTTGCATAAAATGCTTGTAATTGTCACGAACTGTACTAATTAGAATTTATAAGCAAAATGTAACCTACTCTTGTATCAAATTACAAGCTACTTGTCGTACGCAAATTTGACTACTGTCCTTAATAATCAGTAAGAAACTGCGTATACTTCCTACGAGCTATAAGTTAAATGAAACTTGTAACTGATAACGTGTGAGTTGTAATTTTCATACACCTGGATCTAACATTATGTGTGATAAATGCAATGTTTTAATATAACCAGTTAAAATGTTCAGCAACGTCTGCAGGTTACAAGTCACTATCACCAAAATAACTTCAATTCTTTCTTATTTACAATAGCGCCATGTTTTTCTTGTGAGAAAATAAACAAACATCGTAATAACACCTAAAATTGGAGACTTCTGGCTCACCCTGTAGTTATTGACGTTCAAGAATTTTATAATTATACTAGCTGCAAGGACCCGCTTCGCTGGGCAAAAAGCAACGATAGTGAAGATTAAGATAATTACATTATAGCCAATCTTACCCGTTTTCACTAAATGCAAGAATTAGGTCCCCCGTTTCCAGACTAATTAGAGAATTTTTACGTTTAGTCAAACGAACTATTTTCAACGTTTCTGGAACGTTTACAATCGTTCTATAATCGAACCAATATTCGAATTTCATGTTCGAATTTAATTCGAACAAATTCGAACAAAACATTCGAAATACAAAGCCACTTTCAACCACTTTCAGCCTCATATCTCCCGCACCCTTATAGCTATCGAGACGCAACCACCCCTATGCACGAATGGAGACTTGGGGCTACCACCACATACAAACACCATTCACGTGCGATTTGTAGTTTTGGCGGAAAAGTGAAATATAGGGACATACATGTCCATTTATATATATATAGATAGATATAGATATAGATATAGATTACAACATTTTTGTACAGTTGTTGAATTATTCTTTAAAATTATTTGTTATTTTTTATTACAAAAACAATACTTCAAAAGTAATGTAAGAATGCATTCGTTATAAGTTTATTATTATTACAACTATTTTTAATTAAAGATTATGAAGAATGTGAGATACGCAGTGGGTCAGGGGTTAATCTGGCACTGACCACTTAATCTGCACAGGCTGGTAAAGCCCGATCTCGGAGTCGTTCGGATGGCTAGGAGGGCAAATCGAGTGGGGAGTGCGTCGGTAATTCGACAGGTTTCCTCGGATAGACAGGAGACAGGTTTAACAAATAACAAAATAAATGTTTATTCTATAACTAAAGTAATTTACAGGAGTATACAAGTCACTGATTATTGCCTAAATGCGGAAATACAAGTATATAATCGCTCTAACTATTCACTATGTCTCGTGAGAGGGTTTACACAGGCTCTAGAGTGAGAGAGTTATATTGGCGGTCAATTATACCTTATGTTGGAGGACGGTATGCGACGATCATCCTGGACTATGGAAGCGGGCTGTCTGTCACAGGCTTATATCTTCTACCGGCTTCTCCTTGGGCAGGATTGGGACGGGAGACACTGTATTCAGACCTTCCAGATGATCGCTCGGAGGACGTTCGCACTGAGGGAACGATCGCCCGGAACTTCCCGTGACGATCGTTTTTATACGATCGTCGTTGGCACTGATCCAACAAATCGTTCACTCGTTATGCTGACTAATTATCACGCGCACGTTGACTAATTAACAAACGGACGATGTGTAAGATTCGACATCCGACCTATTTCCGTTATAACGTGTGATAAAATTTTTTCATCTTCTAAGGTAAAAATATGTTAAACTCAAAAATTTACTCCCTGTAAACCCTCGGGCTCACAAAGAATTTATGCGTAGCAGTTGAATTCCTTTGTGAGAACAATAGTTTCTTTGTCTATCTGATCGGCAGTAATGTAGTCTAGAAAGTGAAGAGTATAGAAATCTCTATAGTAAAGATGAAGGAAATAGAGGATAGTTTCTATATTATATTGAAAAAAATTGTAAAAGGTTTATTTTCTGTAACTTGAAATAATTTATCATAAAAATTTTATAAAAGTTAGATTAATATTTCAACAGTATTAGTTAATATTCAGATTTTATGTTTATTTAATTCCTGTTTAATTATTTGATTCAATATATGAATGTACTTGAGAAGACAGATAATGATCTCTCTTCATTTTTATTTGTCACTGATTCTCGAGACCCAAATAAACGAGGATTTCTACATTCGAACAGGTATTTTATTTTCCATTTATTTCGGTCATATGAATATATAAACCGAAAGTTGAAATTCTAAATCATATTTTACATGATATTTTTAAGAAAATTAAATATATTTACAATTTAAATTATTTTTTTTATTAATATTCAGCAATACGAATTGATCGAAGAAAGAAGATTAATAAAAAAATCTTTTATTTAAATATAGTTATGCTTCTAACTATGCTTGTAAGCCATATTCTCATATTGAAATATTAATTTTCTTAGGTAAATGGGATACTTCTGTTGCAAATGGAACAGATATAATTCGTTATTTTTTACTTACCTTCGACCTCATGTTAAATTTTCATCGAACTCAAGAGAATTGTATGGTTATAATTGTGGATGCTGGTGGAATGACACTATCGCATTTTCTGCAGTTGTCACCAAGTTTAATCAATTCAATTGTGAACATTTTCGTGGTAAGAAATTATTGATTAATATTAAATTTTGTATTCTGTAATATAGTAAAATAAGTTATAATGAAAACAGCATAATTTACCATGCAGTTTAGAAACATATATTGAAAATTCAGTGGCATAGATGATTTTACTATGAAAGCAAGTCAAGTTCTTTTAATTCATAATTACATTCCGTAACGTATTGCAGTGTTTATTAAACAACGTTCCGCTTTTTAATAAAGGGACCTTATATACAGGGACAGAACGACATTAAGATTTTCGATCTCTTGAATTTATCCTGGATTTCTAGCTGAGGCCGAAACAGCCGGAATATTATAAATTATATTGCCATTCTTATACACAAAACATATTTAAATACTCAACAGTGATATATAAATTTTGTAATTAATTAACTTCACGCTGCGTAATTCCCATATATTTATCCAGCAAGTAAATGGAAAAATATTTGAATGACTTATTGTGTGAATCATAGTAACAATAGCTCATATATTTCTAATGATGATATTAATTTGTATTACAATCTTTACCGTAGAGTTCTAACAAGTCATCTATTTATAGTATTTAGTAATTCCCATATATTTATCCAGCAAGTAAATGGAAAAATATTTGAATGACTTATTGTGTAAATCATGGTAACAATATCTCATATATTTCTAATGATGATACTAATTTGTACTAAAATCTTTATTATTACACTGTAGAGTTCTAACGAGATAAAATAAATTTGTATAAAACTTACTTACTTTTTATTTTTAGAAAGATACTTATCCGCTTCGATACAAGGAAATACATTATGTCAACGTGAATATTATAATAAAAGCAATTTTAACTATGGCATTTCCACTTTTAACAACTAAACTCAAGGAAAGAGTAAGTAGAGAAAAATAATTTAACTTTATAATTTAAATAATTTAATATTCTTTAACAATTTTCAAACATTTAAAACAATATTTTTTTCTGTAAGAAAAACTTGGATTTGGAAACTTGGTTATGGTAGAGTATATCTATTTATCCTGTGTTTATCCCAAATCGACATGTTCGATTATAATTAAATTAAAAAGAGACGTTATCTTATCTAAATTATGAAATATTGTAAATGAATGGCAAAAAAACCATTAATAATAAAAAACCATAATTATAAATTATTGACAGTACAGTTTGCAGTTTCATTCTAATATATGACGATTTGGAAGAGTATATTGGGAATTCTAATAAATATTATTGGTTCCATGTGTTCATTTCTTCTACTACTATGTGTTGTTACGGGTTAGATTTTCAATGACATTAACTTTGCTTACAAGTCTGAAAAATAAACAAGTATAATAGACCCCTATAATACGGTAAATACATTTTATATGAATTCCTGTTCTTCGAACACTTAAATACATAAGTTAATCACAGCCCGGCACGTATACAGTTCAGAGACTATGGCTGTTTGAAAAGTTTTCTTTTATAAAATTAATCGAGTGTAAACTAATTTGACTCAAAATTTCCAAAACACGTATAATTTATTGGGAAATAATTTAATAAAATTGTAGAATTACTCATCGAGTGTGCACCGTTTGACGACGCCATTGCGTAAGCTTGTTTTCGAGGTGGAGCGGCGCATCGAACGGCGGGCGCGTGTTTTCTGATAAGTTATTTTTCTGCCAAAAATTCGCTTAACATTAGAGACAACATTAATATAAATATAATTTTTATGGCCGTTAAATAATAAATGGTTTTTAGTAGCTCCACTACTCGTTTAAACTCAACGGTTTGTGCAATATCAGCTATTGGTCTAGATTCGACCAATCCTGTCGCGACACGAGTCGGCGATGACGTTTTACCGTATTATACGAGTTTCTTTTAGCGTGTTTATACGAATACGATCGCAATTTTTTGCCGTTATATACGAATCCGTATTATATGAACCTCTTTTTATACTGTACAGCATATAATAGAAACAAACAAAATCACATATTTTAAATTTTTATACAGCAAATTATTTACTTTATATATTATTTTACTAATTTCAAAAAAGATGTTTTCATTTCGCAGTTCACTTCATTCCGACATGTCTACTTTGCACGAATTCATTCATCCGGATTTTTTGCCTTTGGAATTGGGAGGTAATTTGCCTTCCGATGCGAGTGAATTCAATAATATGATTAGAGCCAACGAAGAATTCTTTCGCAAAAACGAAGAATATTTGAGATTGTACGAAGAGGAAAGAAATAAGCACTTCAGTCAAGGCAAATTTACGTATATTGGTGAAGATTTTGAAGACGAAAAAGTTAAGAAGTTTCTAGAGAAATCGGAAGAAAAATTTAAATGTTATTCCGATGATCCAGAAGCATTTATGGCTTCTCTGAAACAAGATTCAGAATTGGAAATTACACAATTTTGAATGATATACAATTATTTTGTTCTGGGTTATGTTATTATTTACGAGGAAAAATCTTAACTAACAAATTAAACATGTATTTTCTATCATTTATGTATTGTATACTAAGATAAAGGTTTGTCTTTATCCTTCATTTTAACACAGAATATTTAGGAAAAAAGCGTCTATTGTACTGACGCCACCCGGCAATATTGTTTTTTTACTGTATTATGGTTTAAAATTAAAAAAAATAATAAAGTGGTGATTTTTATTTACATGGTAAACAGAAGTTTAAGAAACTTATTTACCATTAAAATATATGACATACATGGTTTTGTGAAATCAGCCGGGGGTACTTATATACTAAGATTGTACCACTTAATCGGCGCTAATTGGTAAAACTAGTTCTCCATAGTTTCTGATCGTAAGATCCGATCTTACGTCAAGATTTTGACCGGGAGGGCTTTTGTACTAGATCCAAATTATAGGATTCGAATCTAAGTCAAGATGCTGACACCAGTTAATCACATTTATATCTGCGGATTAACACGCGAGTAGAGATCTGCTTCAGGAAACAATCCAGAGACATGTCTTAACCAGTAAAGTAGTAAAATTTAATAAATCTAAAAATAACAATATTCTACAAAAAGGAAATTAGATAAACAATCAAATCAAACGAACAAGACGACGAATAAATTACTCAAACGCGTCGAGAGAGAAATATATTCTTAACCTATACATTTACGAGAGAGAGAGAGCTCACAATTCCTTAAATAACATACAACCTGTTAAAGGAGCTTTGTCGTCGTCTTATCGGCGAAGGTCTTTCATTTATAAAGTTCTCATTCTCCTATTCATGGAGAAGGTATTGTTATTCCCAACATCTAATATATCTCGTATGTTCTGTATGAGTATTAACTCGGTAGCATTCGCCTATGGTCGTTGCTCTTATGGAGCCTGCATGGACTTCGTCTCCCTCATCTGGGATCTGTTGAAGAACTCTCCGAATTCGACTGAACTTTGACTATATCTTCGGATTTACGACCAATTATCATTCTAGGATTTTTCCACGTGAACGGATGAGAAGGGGAAAGAAGTGAGGGGTAGACAGTTCTCATCGAAGCGAGATTTCTTTACAGATAAGGGAAAAACAGAGGATGCTCATACTTTCGTCAAAAGAAGTGACTCTCCTATCTGTTTTCCCACGCTAGAAAAACGTTATTTTCCCATCATAATGATAGAATAATTTTCTGTAAAGAGTTTACTTTAACTTTAAATTATTATTTTAGACCCGGGGCTATTCGGATCTCACAGTTGAAGAAGCTGCTTACGTATGATACAACACAAATAATATTGTGTGAATAAATATGTAGATATTATAATATTATCATTATTATTAACATTTCTATTTAATAATTAGGATAGATATTGGTCAACAAAGTATAGAAAGTGAATTAAAATAAACAAAGATTAAGCAGTTCAGTAAAACCAAGGGAAGATAAAGGTCAGGTGTAAGAAAACTTTAAAGAGAAATAGAAATGAAAGCAATGTAACAAAAGGTAAATGTAATTACATGTTGTGCCATCTCTTGATGATTACAAAATTTAAACAGCATTATATATACTTTGAAACATCTGAAAATGATTCCATGTAAAATATTAGAACGTCTTAGTCGTCTTAAGAGCTACTTTTGAATTCACTACGAATTTAAAGGACTTATCATAGTTTTTAATAGGAAAGTTATCTAAAACTTTATTAAACAAACATATACTGTACATTTCGGCCATATTATTATCCTTCATCAGATGCTCTTAATACAGTAATGAATTTATTAATTAAAAATACATATTGTGAAATAATTACAATTATAAACTCTATTCTTGCAACTTAAAATTTATTTTATATACTAATATTCAATTTTAAATGAGTGAAATAAGTGATAATTAGTGATATTGCCGATAGATGCAAAGATGGTGAGTGTATTCAAACTAGGGTTTCTCATTTTCAGGTCCTTCCCTTGACTTAGGATTTCGAGGAAAAAGTGATCAGTTTTCTGCGATATAATCGATTATTTTTAAGATGTAATTTAAAGTTTGTGATCGAATAATATAATTTTTACTCGTCTTTTAAGTAATCTAATACATCTTACAACTTCCAAAGTAATAATATTAATAATGCAGCGTGAACTATATATTAAAAATTACTTTTGAATTACCTAGAAATTTTTACAAATAGAAAAAAATTTATTAAAGCTTATTGGAATCTGCCTACAACAACAACAACTGCAAAAACAAAGAAAATGCCATTGTAATGAGTTAAATATTTAAAAAAAAACATGAAATTAAAAAATAATATTCGTGTTTTAATAAAACATAATACAAAATATTATTGTAAATTTTTATTTACAATCATAAAATTAAATAAAGTATTGTTGAAACATAGAAAATGTTCTTACTTCCAAACAGAGAAAGCGATTCGTACGTTCTCTCGTCCCATGATTTCTTTTGAGATTGAAATTTAATTCCCCAAATAACAGCTCGATGAAAGCACGTTAATTACGAATAAACAGACTTCCCGTCTTACCCCATGGCTCCATCTTCACCACTTTCCCCTACATCATACTTTCTCTTTAACAATAGAGTAGTGTCGATAATGTATCTAACTTTCTTTAAGGAAAAATTTTATAGTTTAAATAACGTGACTTCTGCCGAAATTAAAAGTTCCTGTATACTTAATCAGGGCCTAAAATTTCCCAAACACTTACTATTCAAGAACTTTCGATATTAATCGAAAGTCGCGTTATTTTAATTCAAACGTCTTCCTCTGAAAGTATCAGATACATGAGTAAATACAAAATTTTTCTTCTGTTGGAAAAACTTGAGGTATGAGATAAAGATGATCTTAAGATCCGCTTGTCATCAACAAAATATTATTCAGGATGACAAGAGAAACTTGATCAATATCAATGGCGTGCTATCATTGGAAGCGCCGCTTCCCTTGTATTTTCTAAAAAAATAAATACATATTGTGCGATTATTTTCATATAATTAAATTTGTCAATAATATTTATTTATAACCGCATTATATATTTTATTACAAATTTCTATACTACATGTGAAAAAACGATAAGATTGCAAAGGTCTGCTTGCTACTGGTTTCTTTCTAATTAAATTACTTTAAAAACATGTATCTTGTTACATCATAAAACTGTGCTGTTTGTTACAATACAGGTTTCTTTTCCATTAAAAGCATATTATCTTTTAACATTTTGACAGTATACGTTTGCACTATAGAATATTCTAAACCTTCGAAACACAGAGTGTACAGGCAAAATACAAGGTATTTTGTTTCGTTTTTGACTACGATCTGTACTATTTACTAATCGGACACTATCAGTAGCGTAGCGTAGGGTGGGCGGCAGGGGCGGCCCGCCCCGGGCGGCAAAATTACGTTTTAGGGGCGGCAAAATTTCACAATAAATAATAATAATACTTGTAAGAATTTGAACCATTTTATTTCATATTTTCGTTTACCTATGATTCGTATCGATTGAAATGAGCACGGAATTGCGTTACCATCCGACTCGCCGACCGGGCGCGACCTGTCGACGTATTTTTTTTTTTTTTTTGCCTGTACGATTCATTCGTAACAATATACACCTCCAATATCCAATATCCCAAATATAGGTCACTCG